TTTAGAGAGCATGGACTGACAGTCGTAATTTTTACACTGTGATTCTGCTAGACACAATACATTAGAAAATTTGAGAAACTCTGCTTCCTCCATCTCAAAAAATACATGTACTTGGGGCTCTGCCCTTCAGATTTCAGAAATGCCAGTAACATGGACTTAAAGACGAGTCAAAAATAACACTACATTTCCAGCAGCAAGAGTTTAAGAATCAGATGTCACCCCACCCGACCTCAATTAAGTCAGGCAGAATCTGCTGAAGCAGCTGGATGGGATCGAGCAGGGTGTGAAAACCTGTATTCTAGCGCTGGGCAGAGAAAAGAAGATAATTTCAGCGTGAAGCTGGTTCTGTATGAAGCGGAGAATTTCGAGTGTGAATGCGTGTATGTGTTCGTGCATGTGCTGGGGAAAGCAGGGCTGGCAAGGGAGACAGAGGAGAGCTTTGTGTTCAGTGCTTCCTCCGAGGCGGCGCAGCCTGTTCCCTATCTCCCCCTTTCACTTCTGAATGTGCAGGAACATGCGGTGGCTCCTTTTTCCCACCATCTTCATCATCCCTTGTACGCAACAGGTAAGTTCATTAAAAAGAAGAAAAAGATTTCTCCCTTCCTCACCCTGTCCCGGTTTAAAGTTTTTATTTGCTTAATGACAAAATAAATTTCAGCGAAGCGGATTCCTCGTAACGAATAAGGAGCCATTCCCTACTCCTGAGTAAATTTCATTTGCAGCTTACTTACTGCATCAGGCCTGAGTTTGGTATTTTTTTCTCTCTAATCTGGGCATTAATATGATTCGATGGGAAAAAAAAGGGTTAGGGAAGCTTGAATTGCCAGTGACCTTGCTATTTATTCTTTTTATTTTTTTTAAATATAAGCACAAATGGTTATCTGAGGCAGTAAGAAAGTAAACATCTTGTCCATGCTCATTTTCCATCTCTCTCTCTCTGTATATACACACCGTGCTCTACTTCAGGCTAGTTTTACAGTTGAGAAAGGCACCTGGGCTGTGGTGTGCTTTGTCTCTTATGAGAAAATTTTAAGTCGTAGCTTTTGCTGAAGGTATTTGTGTCAAAGGCCAATTTCATTATTTATTTACTTAATTTTGAAAATACACTTTATGTGTACACAGTGTATTTTTCCTTTACGACCAAGGTGAATGTCAAATGGAGAATTTTCGAATGACTGTCTTCCTTTGCGAACTTTCTGCATATTTAAAGCCAGACTAAGATAACGGAACATTAGCAATAATACATTGCCTGCGTATTTATACCATACAGACCCTGTTCAATCTTTAAAACGTAAGAAAAGGAACACCACATGAAGGGCTGCTGCACAATGGTCTCATTTTCTGATCTGCCCTGGAAAAGTACGCAGTGGGCTTGTGTGATGTAGATAGCTTTGGGATAGACACTTTGGGAAGCAAAGATTAGAAATATTTGGCCTGTAAACTTTTAAAATAAACTTTAGATTTTCATTGTAACTTAATAGATTTTTTAAAGATTTTTCAGGTAGACCGAGCTTGTCAATAATTCCATCGTTAAAACTGTCAGATGTTTGCCTGATGTTTTTTTTCTTACTGGGAAACTTTGTAGTCTCACACCTTTCAGTTGACACGACTTGCTTAGGTAGAATTCTGTAGGCTTAAAGCGCGTTTTAATTTGTAATACAAATTGAACATACTGGTTGAAGCCCACAGATTATTTCCCGCTACAGGTACCCATTTTGAAACACGATATCTGATTTAAGCCACATAACCTCTTATAGCTGGTTCATGGCCAAATTCCTGGTAACGATACTCCGCTTAAAAAGAAAAAAGGCAGAAAGAAGTGTTTCCTAAAGCAACAGACTTGAACACTGCTAAATGTGTAGGAACACCTGTGTGTCTTGTTTCCAGAACAAGCCTTTAGGAAGCTTTACACTCCAATGCACACGTTCATCAAATCAATTATGTTTTATAGGAAAGGCTTAGCTGCCTAAAAAAGTGTACTTAAGTTAGCTGTTTCTATATTATTGCTGCATGTAGGTAAAAAGGATTAGAAGAAATCCTTTATCAGCAAACGATTAACAAAATAACACATTTATGAAACTATCTTCCGCGTGCTGCATGGAATACCACATGACATTGCGTAATATTCATTTATTATATGAACTGCCTCTGTGAATTAATATGTATCTTAAAAAACATCCAGCCAAAGGATCTTGAAAGCTGCTACTTTGGAGCTTCATTAGTAGCTGTGGATTAAGATATCGTAACTATAGTTGTAAATGACCATGAAAAATGGAAATTAGTGGTAGAAAAAAAGCCTTTTAAAAGGTCATTTACTGCTGCATGCAATTAGGCCAGCTCAATTATGCTGCAAGAGCTTTCATGGGCTATGACATAGGCAACGCTGAACTCTGCAGATACTTCCAGTTTGAAAGTTGAACGGGGAGGACCCCCAGGCGAACGGCCCCTTCCCCAGCTTCCCCCAGCATCTCCGGAGGTGGATTCTGCCTCGGCAGAGCCCCGCAGCGTGGAGGCACAGAGAGGAACGGCTAGGTGGGGCGTCATGTGCCCAGGAAAAATACAGGCTAGAGGGATATATTTTTTTTTCCCCTGCAGGCTAGATGGTGATCCTGGCACCTGCCGCGGGGCCGGATC